ACTCTTTCCGAGGCCAATGGAGGCTTCCCTGTATCTGAATTTAATGGACAAAATGAATGCTTATGTGGCCTCTTCATATTTGACCTCTCAACAGCACCTGACAGAACTGGTGACTCCTTCCTTCTTCAAAGTCTCCCCGTCCTTGGCTTTCAGCATGCCACACTCTTGATTTTTCTTCTCTGGTGGCTCCTTCTCAGTTTCTTTTGCTGTCTCATGTTTGACCTCCACCATTTAATACTGGCAGTTCCAGAGGGCTCAATCTTGGTTTTCTTTCTTTCTCTCTTTAAATTTCTTTTTATTATTTTAAATTGTGGTAGAATACAAATAACAGAAAATTTACCATCTAATCCATTTTAAGTGTACAATTCAGTAATTGTAAAGGACAGTTCTGGGTTAGAGAAATTTGTTTTCATCATGTTAAGTATCTTCACATTGTTGTGTAACCAATCTCCAGAACTCTGTCATTTTGTAAAACTAAAAACCTACACCCATTAGACTCCCCATTTCTCCCTCCCCCTAATCCCTGGCAACCACATTCTTTCTGTTTCTATGAGTGTGATTACTCTTGATATCTCATACAAATGAAATCATAGAGGATTTGTCTTTTTGTGACTGGCTTATTTCACTGTACAGAATGTCCTCAAGGTTCATCCAGGTTTGTAGCATGTGCCAGAATTTTCAGGGGGCTCAATCTTAGATCCTTTGCTCCTTTCTCTCTAAACTCTAAGGGATCTCTTTCATTTCTCTGAATTCAATGATCACTTATTAGTTTAAAACATATGAAACTACCAATATTTAACAGTTTCTGACCTACCAAAATGGCAATATCTCTAACCCAGACCTCTCTTTTAGGCCTAGACCTATATATCCAACTGCCTCTTGAACATCTCTACTTTGATATCTCGCGGGCATCTTAAACTCAAGCTGCCAAAACCTGGTCATTCACCTAATGGCTTCAGACTAAACCTGGGCACCATCCTTGCCTGTTCCCTTTCCTTCATCTCCCACACTGGATGGCCAATTCTACTTCCTACCCACCTCTTGAATCCATCTACTCCTGTCTACATCTACCACTGCTATCTTAGTCCAGCCTCCCATATTCTCCAGTATGAATTATTGCAATAGTCTCACTGCTGGTCTCTCTCCACTACCCTTCCTCCCTAATTGCAAGCCATTCTCCACTTTGTAACTAGAATGATCTAATAATGCTGAAGATGTGAGTAGCTTCCCAATGCTCTTAGGATAAAGGTCCAAATCTCTAACATGACCCACAATGCCATGACTAGATACTTGCTCATCTCCCCAGCAGCATGTTGCCCCACACTATCTCTCTTGTCCCTGGTCCCCCATCTTAAGTTATCTTTATAGCATCCTGTTTGTTTCCTTTTCTAAAGTTTGCCACACTTGTAGTTCATTGCTCAATGCCTGTTTTCTCTGCTAGACTCTAAGCTCCACAAGAATATGGACAATACCTGTCTTGTTTATGTAACCCAGAGGGGATGCTGAGAGCTCTGGCGGCTGGAAGGATTTGGCTACCTGAATGATATGCAGGTTTTAGTTCTGACATTCTTGAGTGAATGAGAGGAATGTGAGCTTGGAGTATAAAGAAAACTCCAAGTTTTTTTTTTTTTTTTCGTTAGGTCTTCGTTGCTGCACGCAGGCTTTCTCTAGAGCGAGCGGGGGCTACTCTTCATTGTGGTGAGTGGGCTTCTCATTGCGGTGGCTTCTCTTGTTGCGGAGCATGGGCTCTAGGCACGGGGGCTTCAGCAGTTGTGGCATGTGGGCTCAGTAGTTGCGGTGCGTGGGCTTCAGTAGTTGCAGCACATGGGCTCAATAGTTGTGGCTCGAGGGCTCTAGAGCACAGGCTCAGTAGTTGTGGCGCATGGGCTTAGTTGCTCCGCGGCATGTGGGGTCTTTCCGGACCAGGGATCGAACCCGCGTCCCCTGCATTGGCAGGTGGATTCTTAACCAGTGCACCACCAGGGAAGTCCCCAAGTCTTGTTTAATCTGCTTGGTAGATGCTGCATCCACCCCTGGTGGGAGAGATCTGGACACTCTGGATCAGATACATCTCACATTTGACCCATACTTGTCATGAGACACTTGCCAGGAGCCCCATGGAAACTATTCTCTGGACCTAACACAGAACCCTGACTTGGGTTTCAATGCTGGCTGCCACAGCCTAGTGTGGGACCCAGAACAAATCATTTCATCTTTCTGATCCTAATGTCCTCATTTGTGAAATGGTGATAATCAAATGTGCACAACAGAGTTGTTGTCTGGATTAAGTCAGGTAATTAAATGTGAGAGCATCTAGCCTAAGGCCTGGACTACAGCAGCCATTGGTAAGTGCAGGATGACTGACTGTCTGACAGAACAAATGAACAAGGGTCGACTGAAGCCAGCAGGGAAAAGCCAAGCTGCTAACAACCTAAATCCTTTACTAGGGCAGAACCCCTGTCAGCAGAAGTCACTGCTTGCATACCCTAGGTCAACATCCCACTTCTGTAAGAAGGGGGTCAGAGAGAGCTCAGTGTCTCTGCTGACATCCTGGACTCGGAGAGCCTACAGCCAAGTACACTCAGAGCTGAAGGCAGGGAGAAGGAGTGTATGTTTTGGAAACAGACAGAGCTACAGACCCCTACTGATGCTGTCACTTATTAACATCAGGTCATATCAGCTGTATGACCTGAGCAAGTCACTCTGAGTCTCATCTTCTTTATTTGTAAAGTGGGAAAATCACAACTATTTTATAGGAATGCTGTGGGGATCAAATTATAATGTATATATTAATACCAAAGTGGGATGTGATACCCCTTCCCCCCACCTAGATTTTCATGAAAGAATTTAGTTGATCTGTAATGAAGTCAAATGATTTAAGCCAGAAAAAAGGATCCAGGATACAGTTCTAGGATTAAATATGGTAATTTAGCTTAGACAAATGGAGGAGGGTAAATACAAGAAGGAGGATTTGGTTTGAGATAAAAGAAAAGAATGGATACAAGTTAAGATAAGCAGCCTGAAACACTGCAGTGCCTCAGTCCTGCCAATGGAAAAGAGATAATGAGGGAATAACCAGGGCAGGACCGAGCAAAGCTGGGGCAGGAACTGGAGCAAAAGAGGGTTAGCTGCAAGAGAACACTGGGTTGTGCTAGCTGGATGCTATGTCATGAAGCAGGGCTCTGAGGATCTTGGTTCTGAAGTTTCCAGATGCCTCAGCATATGAAATTGATCCTGTTAAAGGGAAAGGCACTACCTATATGTAGGACCAGTAAATAAATATTAGTCATTCCTTTCTGATTTTGAAGAGGTTTCTAAAAGAGGGTCTTTCAAAGGCTTTGGAAAGGCAATCCTTGGCACCCTGCTAAAGGAATCTCCCCCTTGCTGCATAGCAACCATTTTGCACCTTCTCATCAGTCAGTATTGCCCAAGGACGGCCTGTGCTGTATGGTGCTTTGGGGTTTGGGGGGTTGTTAGAGAGGCATGATCGTTCCCCTTGCCCATATGTGGCCTGGAACATCTATGGCATCTGGGTGTTCACCTCTCCAGGATTGTGGGAAGAGCACAGATGGCTCTGAGCAAGAGCTTCCTTGCACCTGGATGCCATGGTGCTCTCTGTCTGGGGCTGCATCTCCATGGCCTGGGGAAGAAGCCCTGGGGACCCACACCAATGCTTAAGTGGGCTCCACAAGACAGAGACTGTATCAGATTTGGTCACTACTATACCCCAATGAGGGAATGCAGCAGGATTTCAATAAATATTTGCTGACTGAAAGAGAAAATAATAACCTCCCCCTCCCCACCCTTACTATAGGCTGTGAGTAGTTACTGTGATGGGAAGGGCTCCTAACTTTTTATGAATGCTCACTCCTGTGATGCTGACTGGTATCTGGAGGTCAGGGCAGTAGCTAATGTTCTGAGTCAGAGTGGTCTCCTTCACCACTCTATCCCAGGGACACAGGTGGGCCTTAGCTGCTGGGAGATGAGGGATTCTGAGGACATTATAAAATCTGGCAGAGGCTGCTGAGGCCCTCACACAAGAAATGTGGATGACAGGGAGTTTAAATCAGAGGTTGCAGATTGGTGGCCCTTTGCCCCAAATCTGGCTTGCAGGCAGGTTTGACGCACATAGGGTTTAAACTTTTAAAAATTTAGTTGCACATTTAAAAATCAGGAGAATTCTTATTCAAATCTGGCTTCTAGATTCTTTTGAAAAACTGAAAGATATGGTAACAACTGGCTGGAGCTGTCTAGGAGAGGCACATACCCTCAGCTGATCATATCCCCTACTGGCTCTTTCACATATTGAAATTTCCTGTCCAGCCTCTGCAGGCATTTGAGTTTGCAATGCCTGCTTCAGAAGACCTAAGGAGGAAAAGCATAGCCTTGGTGGTCCAGGGAACCCCAGCAATCAAGCCCCGATCCAGCTCTGGGTGTGAGCTGAGCCCCTTACCTGATGAGTCAGTGACAGCAGGGTCGGCCAGCCGCCCGTAGTGTGCCATAAGTTTGAGCTTGGTCTCCTGTTTCCTGTGTTTCTTGCCCATATAATGTTGCTGAGCCATGACAGGGTCATTGAAAGTCGCGTGGCAGAGGCTGCAGAACTTGTCTGGGTCTATCATCTCTCTGTTCTGGTGCAAGGCTAAGGTGGAGGCCACAAGGAAAGGGTTTGTAAGGCGTTTCGACAGAGCTGCGGTGAGAGAGTTCAAACAGAAACGATGAAAAAACCCAGAAGGTGCCAGGCTTTCGCGTATGCTGAATGCAAAGAAAGGCTGGGTCACTAGTTAATCACACCTGCAGGTGTGGCACTGCCTGTGTGAATCACACAGTGAAAATCTTCTCTAATTGAGAAGATATGGGGAGCCCAAAGACCGCCTACTCTGTTCGGCAGCTTTAACTACTTCAGGCACATGAATCCTGATTTTCTTATATTCCGAGAGGGATCTGCACTTCTACTATCAAGTTGCCAAATTACAACAGATTAGATATGTACATGCTTGCAATCTTCTCATCCCTCAGAATTCCCCAGAACTTCACAGCAAATGGGACAAGAAGTTTGCGTGTTTTACTCCCATCCTCAAAGTATCTCAGTTATAGATTTGGAAGTCAATGCACAGATGTAGAAACTGAGGGCCTGAGGGCCTGGAGGGTCATTTAGAAAAGGCACTATACTAGGGGGGCCTTTTAGGCTACACTGCCTTCTAGGCTGAGTGGGGGAGTGGAGGATGACATTGACATTTAGTTATGAGATTTGTATATATATTTTCTCTTTTGGTCCTCAGAACTATGCCATGAGGTAGGTGTCATTTTGCCACAATACAGAGAAAAACCGAGGCTCAGATGGGTGAAATGACTTACCCAAGATCACCCAGCTAATGAGTGAATACAGGCCTGTGTGACCCTAAAGACCATGCCCTCTCCTCTATGCCAGGCTGCCACAGTGTGGCAGGGAGATCTGAAGGCTACACTCCATGCGTTCACCTTCAGAAAACATCCCTGGCTGTGGTCCATGAATTCAGTTAATCAGAGCCTGGTATGGGCATATATGTAAGCCCCCCGTGGGCCAAGAAATGTCCTGATGCTGACTGCAGGCTGCACTGCTGCTTTATAAAGTGGATGTCATGACTCACTAATGAGTCCACATGGCTGGAATGGTGTCAATCTAGTAACCACTCCTTTAAAAATGTGGTCTAGAACCCCCACCAATGGTGGAGGAGAGGTGGGTCTCAGCAGCACTCACAGACAGATGTTCTTTCATCTCTGTACCACTTTAATGGGGGAAGTTTTGAGGATTTTCAACAAGCCAGAAGAAACTTGCTGGCTTTTCCCACAATGGTTTTCCAGTATAGGAAATCTCAATTTCCCTGGCTATTTGATTTTCCCTAGCCATTGTTTCAGCAAGTCACTGCAAAAGTAAGGTACATGTTGTAGAATATTCAATAATATGAGAAAATATTCAGTATGTCGTGTTGAGTTAAAAAAAAAAAAAGGTTATACAGCAAACTGGTTCTTATGTCCTTGGTTCTGTAAAACAACAAAAACCATACTGGTGATGTGTGGAAAAAAGACCAAAAGCATTGAGTAAAAGTGTGCTTTTCAGTCTTTTCCAACTTTTCTACAATGAATGCAGATTCTTGATATCAGAAAAGAAATAATCATGACCACTGAAACATAAGGGTCTTTCTTTAAAAGATACTGAAGAGAAGCATCAGAGGTGAATGGTTAAGTAAAGTTGGAGGAACCACTTAATAGACATCCAGTAAAAATGAGAGCTACAGGAGTCTTCTCTCAGGAAACAACTTGAAATATGGAAAGAGAGTTCTACAGGAATGTTTGCTGTAGTGTTATTTACAAACATTAATAAAGGAGAGGGGGAAAACGTAAATGTTCACCATTAGAGGACTGGTTAAATAAATGTGCTGTGATGGGATACTGTCATAAAAAATGTTTATGAAAAAGTTTCTAATAACATGGGGAAATACAAATGTTATATTAAGTGAAAAGAGCATAAAAGAAAATTATACACATGATACGATCATGTCATTATTAAAAGACATAACGTGCAATCTATATGTATATACTGGTATTTTGAAATGTTACCAACATATTAACAGTGTTTCTCTCTTGGTGGCAGGATTTGGGTGGTATTTTACTTTCCTCTTTGTACCTTTTGCATTGTTTGAACTAGAAATAACAATAATGAGTATGCATTGTTTTTATAAAAACAATAAGGTTAAAGTATTTTATGTTTATCAACATAATCTAGACATACATAAAACACACATATGCACAGATATACACACATACACATAAAAGATTATAGGAGAAACAGTACTCCAAAATGTTAACAGTGGTTATCTTTGAATGGTAAAATTATGAGTATTTTTCTTTCCATTTATCTATATTTTCCATATTTTCTACAACATGCTTGTATTACTTTTACATTAGAAAAATGTTTAATTTCAGAAATATAGTTATAAACTCATATAATAACATGGAAATGTGCTTAAACTACAAAATTAAAAGTTAAAGCAGGATACAAATGGTACATGCACTATGATTATAACTATATATAACATACCTGTTATGTGGCAAGGGCCAAAAGTAAATACAAAACATAAATGCTTGAATATGGAATCTTTGGACCGGGCATATTCCAGGGAATTTTCCCATTTATAGAAAGTTAAGCTCATATAAACCTAAAGATAAGTGACCATATAAAGTTCTGTTCTTAAGCTAATTTCCCTTGGTCTAATGTTTAAACTTTTTGGTACCATAAATGGTACCAACACTGACTTTAAACAAAAGCAATTAGTACTAGTATAACTTAATGATGAACAAACCATAAGCAAGGCCAGTGACATGCTCCAGGTGGTGGATGCCTGATCAACTACTGCATTTTATGTGGGGATTCCATTCACTGGCTATCTTGATGATGGTGATAATACTAACAATAGGAACTGTCGGGAATTCCCTGGCAGTCCAGTGATTAGGACTTGGCACTTTCACTACCAGGGCCCGGATTCAATCCCTGGTCGGGGAACTAAGATCCTGCAGGCCACTTGGCCAAGAAAAAGAGAACTGTCCTTTACTGAGCATTTATTACATCCTAGGTTCCTTGTATACCTTATTTCATCCTCAAAACCTATGAAGTAGTATTATCAACATTTTATAGGTGAGAAAACTCAGGCACAAAGAAGTTCAGTCATACAGATGGTAAATAGCAGTGGTAGGATTTAAACTTGGGCATCCATGACTTTATCTCTTGTTTCATGGCAGGAATACTAGATTGGGGTGTGATAAGAGAGTATAATTATGAGTGATTTTTTTACCCTCTCTTCAAAGTCTTCCAAAACATCACTGTCTTGTTTTTATAATACAGCAATTCAAAAAAGGACAAGTATTATAGATAGTATAGTCTACTTCTTGGTCCAAAATAAAGACAGAAGCAAAAATTACCAAGAAAAAAATAAAATAAAGATCAAAGAACTTTCAGTTTTGACTAACTGCAGTTAGCAGAGGTTTAAAATCCCAGAAAGTCATGAGTTAATGAGATGAAAGTGAAGGCTGAGCCCCAGTGGTGACAAGATAAAGGGGGCTATTTTAGAAGTCACTGCACTGGGAATGAGTTCATGGCAGTTGCAAATACAGTTTGCTGGGCAGTAGTGGCAGCACTGAAGTATTCAGCTTCGAAAGGCAAGTCCCTGTCTTGAGGAGAACAGGCAGCTTTGAGGATTAAAGTGCACAGGGCATAACCTGAGCACACGAAAAAGACAAGGATTTAGCTTTTAACTTGGAATGCATGGCAACAGGGCAGGTGGATGCTAGGAGGGAAAACTCTAAGTGAGAGAGGCAGGAGATAGAATGCTCTCCTGGTGTGCATAGGCTGGAGGACTTTGGCACTCCTGACTTATAATTATTTTTAAGGACAAAAGCTCAGGGCTAAGAAGCTTCTATAGAGAAAAACTGATGTAACCAAAGAAAGGGAGGTTAGGTGAGTACAACTCCCAGGATGCATTTCATAGAAGCTGGGTCTACTTTGATATTTTTAAGGGCTCTCAAAAGCAGTTCAACCTCTTCAAGTCTGTGGCCCCAGTGAGCATTTCTGGGAGCACCTGGCATTGGTGCCTTGAGGACGGGAGGGGTCCCGATACATAGCACCACTCAGGAAAACCAGTACCTTCCACCTTAGTGGATTGCTGCTTCAGCTTTAAGTTCTTTGCGTGGGTCTTCCCCAGGTAGTGCGACTGGGCCACGACAGGGGAGGAAAAGGTCATGTTACAGATGGGGCAGCACTGGTTCTTGTCTTTGCTTCTGCTGCTCTTCTGGTTAGGAGAAAGAACACAGGTCTGATCACGCCACTGCCCGGCCAGAAAATCTTCACTGGTTCCCCACTGCCCATAGGAGAATGAGCATTCAAGGCCCCCTTCACACACTAACCCCAACCTACCTTTCTGGATTCTTTTCCAGCTACTTCATCCCATGCTCTACTCACCATTCCCCATTTTGTTCTCTGCTACTTCCTTGTTTTACCTGGGCCATTCCTGC